ATAATGTCAGTGGTGTTTGTAGTGCCAAGTGGTGTCAGTGGTGTTTGTAGTGGTGTCTGTAGTGTCAGTGGTGTTTGTAGTGTCAGTGGTGTCAGTAGTGTTTGTAGTGTCAGTGGTGTCAGTGGTGTTTATAATGTCAGTGGTGTTTGTAGTGCCAAGTGGTGTTTGTAGTGTCAGTGGTGTCTGTAGTGTCAGTGGTGTTTGTAGTGTCTGTGGTGTCAGTAGTGTTTCTAGTGTCAGTGGTGTCAGTGGTGTCTGTGGTGCCAGTGGTGTTTGTAGTGTCAGTGGTGTCAGTGATGTTTGCAGTGTCAGTGGTGTCAGTGGTGTCAGTAGTGTTTCTAGTGTCAGTGGTGTCAGTAGTGTTTCTAGTGTCAGTGGTGTTTGTAGTGTCAGTGGTGTCAGTGGTGTTGCTAGTGTCAGTGGTTTCAGTGGTGTCTGTGGTGTCAATGGTGCATGTTTTTTAATGTCAGTGTTTGTAGTATCAATGTGTCAGTGGTGTTTGCAAGTGTCATGCAGTGGTGTTTGTAGTGTCAATGGTGTCTGTAGTGTCAGTGCATGCATTGAATGCAGTCAATGCACGTAGATCTAATAATGACTATGTTATATTGACTAAAAATGATCTTAAACAATAGATCTACATGTACATAAAGTTAGTATTTATGCCGATAAAGTGGCCTTCTTTTTTTCTTATTGTATGTGTTATTTTGCTCTATAGCAACTCCAGTTTCCACTTCCTATATAAAATATTCATGATAGTTGTGGCAAAAGATGTATACCACACTTACTAATTGAGCCTTCAAGGCCTTAATCATAGAGCTGTTGCACGGATGTAATCAACGGGGTAGGCGGAGCTTCCTGTCGGCCATCTTGAGTGGCAAGAATGTACACGCAACGAATGGAGGAATGGAAACAAACTGCGATTTTTCATCAAAGAGATATCATACTTCGCTGCAGAATATTATAGAGACTTCTTTACTCAATATCTTCATTTCATACCTTGCATTAGCCTGGAATGTCAACTGCAGAATTTATTTAAATTTTTTTCTCCATTCCCCCATTCATTCTTGGCCTTCTTGCCACCCAACATGGCGGACAATTTAGCTCAATTTTAGCCACACCCTCCCGTTGATTACTTCCGTGC